AGATAGGCTTGTATCTATTTGTGTGTGTGTGCGTGTGTGCGTGTGCGTGTGTGCGCGTGTGCGTGTGTCTGTGTTTGGCATATATATGTGAGCCGAGGGTAACTGCTCTCTACATCGACGTCACTTTTGACCGAGTATGGTGTTAAGAAGCCCAAGCAAAACAAAAGTCTTTGGAGTCAGGAGGAAAAACACTTCACAGCTTGGAGTCATACCTAGTGCAAAGTAAGGCTGCGTTTGTTGGAAGTCAGTTGTATCAGCTCCAGGACGCCTCTGCAGGAGTTCTTCAGGGTAATGGCCTAGGTCCAACTATCTTTGGCTGCTTCTTCAACAACCTCCCCCAACCTCAAACACCCCATCATCAGATCAGAAGAGGGGATGTTTGCCAATAGTGCAATTGTGTTCAGCATCATTTGTGACCCCTTATACACTGAAGCAGTCCATGCCCACCTACAGCAACACCTGGACAATATCCAGGCTTGGGTTGTCAAGTGGTATATGACATTAGAGCCATACAACACTAATCTTGTAATCTGGGGTTGGCATGGTGGCTCAGTGGTTAGCACTCCTGCCTCACAGCACCAGGGAACTGAATACGATTCCATCCTTGGGCAACTATCTGTGAGGAGTTGGCACATTCTCCCTGTGTCTCCCCGGGTGTGCTGGATTCTTCCCACAGTCTAAAGATGTGCAGGTTAGGTGGATTGGCCATGCTAAATTGCCCCATAGTGTCCCAGGATGTGTCGGCTATATAGATTAGCCATGGGGAATGCAAAGTTACATGGATAGGGTAGGGGTGTGGGTTTGGGTGGGATGTTCTTCGGAGGGTCTGTATGTACTCAACGGGCCAAATGACCTGCTTCCACACATGATTCTACACAAGTGCCAGGCAAAGACTATTTTCAACAAGAGAGAATCTGAAACATGCCCCTTGACATTCAATGATATTCTCCTCACTGAATTCCCCACTATCAACATCCTGGGAGTTAATTTTTGACCAGAAATTCAATTGGACTGGTCACAAAGACTATAGCGCCAAGAGAAGTTAGACATTAGGAATCCTGCATCATTTAACTTGCATCCTGACCCTCAAAACCTGTCTATCAACTACAAGGCCCAAGCCAGGAATGTGATGGAATACTCTCACTTGCCTATATGAGTTCATATAGCACCATTCAGGTCAAAGTAGCCTGCTTGATTGGCACCACATCCGCAAATATTCACTCCTTCCACCTCAGCTGCAGCAGTGTGTACCATCTACGAGATTCTGTCAAGAAATTCATCAAAGTTCCTTAAACAGCACCTTCCAAACCCATGACCACTTCTACCTAGAAGGGCGAGGGTGACAGATACCTGCGTATGCCCCTCCAAGCCACTCACCTTCCTGACTTGGAAATATTTTGTCATTCCTTCAGTGTTGCTGGGTCAAAATCCTGGAACTTCTGCCCTGATGGCATTGTGGGTGTCCCCACTCCAAATGGGCTCCTATTTTTGAAGAAGGCAGCTCACCAGCACCTTCTCAAGGGCAGTTAGAGATGGGCAATAAATGCTGGCCTAGTCAGCAAAGCACATATTCCTCAAATGAATAAAGGCCAAATGACTCAGCACTGAGCACCACTGGAAAAGGCCTACTATGCAATCCATCAACATTTGCTTTCTGCTACCAGAAAATTTTAGTTCCAAGTTATATCCCATGGACTTTTGCATTCCTACCAGTCGGCTATGTGGAACTTCCATCAAAAAGTTTCCTCAAATCCATGCTGACTACATCAATAAATATAACATGGGAAAATCTACTTTGATAAAAAAAGAATAAAAAAGTAAAATATTATTTACCTGTAGAGAAACTAGAGAATACTGCGGCTCACAGGGATCTAAGTGTCCTCATATGTGAATTACCAACAGTTAGCGTGCAGGCACAGCAAGTAATGAGTTGGAATGCTGACTTTATTGGAATACAAAAGTGGGAAAGTCTTGTTGGAACTTAGTGTTAGAGAAACATCACCAATTGTACTGTATACAGTTTTAGTCTCTTTAAATAATGGGGGCGGGGAAGTATACTTGTCTAGGAGGCAGATCAAAGAAGGTTCACTAGGTTGATAACAAGGTGTAGAGCTGGATGAACACAGCAGGCCAAGCAGCATCATAGGAGCAGGAAGGCTGACGTTTCGGGCCTAGACCCTTCATCAGAAATTCAGCCATTTTTGATGAAGGGTGTAGGCCCGAAATGTCAGCCTTCCTGCTCCTACGATGCTGCTTGGCCTGCTGTGTTCATCCAGCTCTACACCTTGTTATCTCAGATTCTCCAGCATCTGCAGTCCCTACTATCTCTCACTAGGTTGACCCCTGGGATGAAAGGTTGTTCTTTAAGGAAAGTTTGAGCAGTTTAATCCTATCCTCATGGAGTTTGGAAAAATGAGAGGTGGTCTTATTGAAATATAAGATCCCAAGGGCGAATGGCATGGGGTGGGGGTCACAGTATGGAGACTGAGAGAATGTTTCTGTTGCTAGGGAATCTCGACCTGGGGGCATAGTTTCTAGAATAAAGAGTCAGCCACTTTCAACAGAGCTGAGGAGGAATCCCTTCCTAAGAACAGTCACGAGTCTTTTGAATTCTCTACCCTAGAGGGCTGTACATGCTGGGTCATTGAAAATAGTCAAGGTTGATTTTTGAGCTGTAGAAATATTAAGGATTATGGAGTGAAAGCTAAAATTAGACCAGCCAAGATCTTATTCAATGAGAATAGCTTGAGGAGTAGCATGAATTATTCCTGCCTGTATTTCTTGTGCTCTTCTCAAATGTGTTTAGCTTCATTGAAAAATTCAAACGGCTTCGTCCAACTCTGAACATTGTCTTGTTGCCAGTCCTTGATTAATTTGTACCATTCTAAATAACGTTCGTGTCATTCCTCAGGACTTTTCCAATAATTTGCCGAGCAGTGAGATTAGAGTCACTGTTCTGCATGAAGTGGAAAATTCCAATAAAAAAAAGTAATATTTTGGATTGGCTGCAATAGTCATAAAGGAGCTCCATTTTAGAGTAGACAAGATAAATCAGAAGGCACGCAACACCAGTTTGTAGTCCAACAGATTTATTTAAAATCACAAGCTTTCGGAGTGTTGCTCCTTAGTCTTCTGACAAAGGAGCAGTGTTCCAAAAGCTCATGGGTTTTAAATAAACCTGTTGGACTACAACCTGATGTCCTGTGACTTCTGACTTTACCCACCCCAGCCCAACACCAGCATCTCCACATCCAAGATAAATCAGACCAGTATGTCTCCTTTGCCAGTTTTTTGCATCTTTCCCTTATCTCGCTTCTTTCTTTTTAAAATAACAGTGCAATGCTAGCTGTTCTCTAACCCACCTGCACAATGCCTATAACCAGAGAGGACAGTAAGGTGTGTTTTCTTAGCAGCTAGGGATACATTGCATATGGAATTGGCAATTTATTTACTTTCAAATATGTTGAATCGCTGAAGATTTCCTCTCTCAGTATTTGTCCCATCCAATATTTCATACCCTTCCTCCTTAACTACAAGATCTGTATTGTACCCACTGCTGTGAAGACAGTTACAATATATTTACCAAGAACTGTACCTTTCTCTTCCCCATGAACTAACAGCTTCCCTTTTTGGTCCTTAATAAATCACACATTTATTTCAATTGATCTCTAGCTGTCTATTCGTTTGTAAATCATCTCTGAGTCCTCCGCGCTCTTAATTGCCAATATTTTTTCACACCATTTCTTTGTTTTCCTAATTTCCTTTTTAGTTTTGCCCCTGCACTTACAATTGTATTTTACATGTCACCCCTTTAACCGAATGAATCAACTTCATTTCTCCCTGTTGCTCTGCCTCTACACACTGCAGAGTTCACTTATGTCCAGGATCAAAGAATTCACCTCATGGTCCTAGATGGGGTGAACACAGAGATAAAGACACAAACAAGCTGCCAGATATGACCTTCCATCTGCACTGACATCGTTTTAAATCAATCCTAATGCCAATTACCCATCTTGCCTAAGGCAGTCTCTCCATGAAACATGACACGTATTCTGCTTTAACTTTGTTCACAGATCAGCCAACTCCCCACCCTTTTGGGCAAAAAAAACTACCGTTCCTCACAACTTTCAAAACATTTAAATATTGGTTCATTATCTTCAGGCCCTCCTCAGATTTTAACCTTCAAGAACTTAACATAGGAAATCCGTTGGGTTCAAAATCCAAATAGCTTCATGCACATTTTTAACAGTTAGTGTTTCAGAATAATAGTGATATCGGAAGCCTGTGGGGAAAATGCTTTGAATAAAAGCATGATTGTTATCTCAAGGAGTGCAATACACTTTAGCAGATGCTCCTGCACTCCTGTCACTATTCATTCCTTACTGTAGATACCTGGTCATTTCCGAACTACAAGGTGCTATTGGCAACTTTTACTAAGGGACACTAAGTGTCATGTCTCATGCTGGCATTACCAGTTATGAGAAGGGGGCTTGGTGGTCATAGCTTTAATGACCCTAGCACACAACTCAAGATATCACCAATTAGAAATATGTCCTTCAGAGACTGCAAGGTAGCTGAAATGGTGGTGAATAAAAATGTTACTCTGGTGCAATAAGAGGCATGTATTATGTGGTTGACTCTGATCCTCCTTTTGTTGGAGTTGTTCTATAACGTACATAACCATGGCTGGAAGGACTCATGACAATGGGAGTCTAAAATCTTCTGCCCCATAACACTAATATTCCTAATCTATAGTGAGCATTGATTTGACCAAAAACATAAGAAGAAATCAGACAAGGGTAGAAATGCCAGTCAGTTGATAACTGAATTAATAATTTGAATGTCTCTCTTCCTTAGCAATCAATGGTTCTCCAAGGTATCAAACTATCATTGGCTTTTATAAGTGGTTGACCAACAGTTCTGAACTTCCAACATTATCCTTTTCAGTCTCAGTCTCCAATATTTTTAGATTTTTTTAAGCTCTCAAAGAACGTACTTACCAATTTTTTAAAACCAATGTTGTGATCAATGCAGCAACAACCATGATGAGGGAGACTGTGATGGTGATGATCTGGTGAACAGCCAAACCTAAAGATTAAAAGAGAAAAATGTCTTGTTTATTTTCTGTGCAGTATCTATTTCAGATACAATCTTCTGAGGATCCAGGCAGTTTTATTGTTCAAGCAAAAGCCATTAATACCAATGGCAAAAATCCTTCAAATTAAACACCTAGGGGTCAGGTACGTAATTCTTGGAAGTTTACAGAATGGAGACTTGGATAACACAGGGGCAAGAATGGTTGTTGGATGTTCCAGGGTATAGATGTTTCAAAAGAAATAAGGAGTGAGGTAAAGGAGGTGGGGGAGTGGCATTGCTAATCAGGGATGGTATCACAGCTGCAGAAAGGGAGGTCATGGAGGAGGGTTTACCTACTGAGTCAGTACGGGTGGACGTCAGAAACAGGAAAGGAACAGTCCCTTTATTGGGAGTTTTCCATAGATCCCCTAGTAGCAACAGAGACACTGAGGAACAGATTGGGAGGCAGATTTTGGAAAGGCGCAGAAGTAATAGGGTGAATAAGAACTGCCGATGCTGGAGTCAGAGATAACCCAGAATAGAGCTGGAGGAACACAACAGGCCAGGCAGCATCAGAGGAGCAGAAGAAGGGTCCCGACCCGAAACATCAGCTTTCCTGCTCCTCTGATGCTGCCTGGCCTGCTGTGTTCCTCCAGCTCCACACTGTGTTATCTCAAAGTAATAGGGTTGTTGTCAGGGGTGACTTCAACTTCCCTTATATTGACTGGAACTTCCTAAGTGTAAATAGTTTGGATGGAGTAGATTTTATCAAGTGTGTCCAGGAAGGATTTTTGACTCAATATGCAGATAGGCCGACTAGAGGTGAGGCCATATTGGATTTGGTGCTTGGCAAAGAACCAGAACAGGTATCAGATCTCTCGGTGGGGAGAGTATTTTGGTGATAATGATCACAACACCCTGACCTTTACTATAGTCATGGAGAGGGATAGGAGTAGACGATATGTGTAAGTATTTAATTGAGGGAGGGGGAATTATAATGCTATTGGCAGGAACTGCAGAGCATAAATTGGGAACGGATGTTCTCGGGGAAATACACAACAGAAATATGGAGGTTGTTTAGGGAGCAGTTGCTACGAGTTTTGGATAGGTTTGTCCCACTGAGGCAAGGAAAGGATGGAGAGGTGAAGGAACCTTGGATGTCAAGATGTGGAACATCTAGTCAAGAGGAAGAAGGAAGCTTATTTAAGGTTGAGGAAGCAAGAATTAGATAGGGCTCTAGAAGGTTACAAGGTAGCCAGGAAGGAACTGAAGAATAGACATAGGAGAGCTCGAAGTGGGTATGGAAAAGCTATGGCGGGTATGATTAAGGAAAACCCCAAGGCATTCTATACTTATGTGAAGAACAAGAGGATGGCCAGAGTGAGAGCAGAGCTGATCAGTGATAGTGGAGAGAACTTGTGCATGGAGTCGGAGGAGGTAGGGGAGGTCCTTAATGAATAATTTGCTTCAGTATTCACCAGTGAGAGGGATCTTGTAGTTTATGAGGACAGCATGAAACAGGCTGATATGCTCGAACAGGTTGATGTTAGGAAGGAGGATGTCCAAGAAATTTTGAAAAACATGAGGATAGAAAAATCCCCTGGGCCGATGGGATATACCCAAGGTTACTATGGGAAGCGAGGGAAGAGATTACTGCCCCTTTGGCGATGATCTTTGCATCCTCACTGTCCACTGGAGTAGTACCAGATGATTGAAGGGTGGCAAATGTTATTCCCTTGTTCAAGAAACAGAATAGGGATAACTCTGGGAATGACAGACCGGTCAGTCTTATTTCCGTGGTGGGCAAATTATTGGAGAGGATTCTGAGAGATAGTCTTTATGATTATTTGGAAAAGCACAGTTTGATTAGAGATAGTCAGCGTGGCTTTGTGAGGGACAGGCCATGCCTTACAAGCTTTATTGAATTCTTTGAGGGTGTGACAAAACACATTGATGAAGGCAGAGCAGTGGATGTGGTGTATATGGGTTTTAGCAAGGCATTTGATAAGGTTCCCCCATGGTAGGCTCATTCAGAAAGTAAGGAGGCATGGGATTCAGGGAAATTTTGGCAGTCTGGATACAAAACTGGCTGCCCAATAGGAGACAGAGGGTGGTAGTAGATGGAAAGTATTCAGCCTGGAGCTCGGTGACCAGTGGTATTCTGTAGGGAGATCCAGCACCTCCAGAGGAGACAGCAGCACTCAGCCCTGCCGAGTCTTCACCATCCCCCCAGACCTACCCCTTACTGAGGACGAACGGTCAGTCCTCAGTAAAGGGCTCACCTTTGTCCCCCTCCACCCACAGATCAACGAATACCGCTCACGCTTGGACATAGAGCAGTTTTTCCGCCGCCTCCGCCTCCACGCTTACTTCTTTAACCGTGAACCTAACCCTCCCTCTACTGACCCCTTCTCCCGCTTCCAACACACCCCCTCCTCCTGGACACCACCCCAAGGCCTCCTACCCTCCCTCGACCTCTTCATCTCCAACTGCCGTCGAGACATCAATCGCCTCAACCTCTCCACCCTTCTCACCCACTCCAACCTCTCCCCCGCAGAACGTGCAGCCCTCCGCTCCCTCCACTCCAATCCCAACTTCACCATAAAACCCGCGGACAAGGGAGGCGCAGTTGTAGTATGGCGCACTGACCTCTACATCGCCGAGGCCGGACGCCAACTCTCCGACACCTCCTCCTACCGCCCCCTTGATCATGACCCCACCCCTGAGCACCAAACCATCATCTCGCAAACCATCCACAACCTCATCACCTCAGGTGACCTCCCACCCACGGCCTCCAACCTCATCGTTCCCCAACCTCGCACTGCCCGCTTCTATCTCCTTCCCAAAATCCACAAACCTGAATGCCCTGGTCGACCCATTGTCTCCGCCTGCTCCTGCTCCACCGAACTGATCTCCAACTATCTAGACTCCATTTTCTCCCCCTTGGTCCAGGAACTCCCTACCTATGTCCGTGACACCACCCACGCCCTCCACCTCCTCCAGAACTTCCAATTCCCCGGTCCCCAACACCTCATCTTTACCATGGACGTCCAGTCCCTCTACACCTGCATTCCCCATGCAGATGGCCTCAAGGCCCTCCGCTTCTTCCTGTCCCGCAGGCCCGACCAGTCCCCCTCCACTGATACCCTCATCCGCTTAGCCGAACTCGTCCTCACACTCAACAACTTCTCTTTCAATTCCTCCCACTTCCTACAGACAAAGGGGGTAGCCATGGGTACCCGCATGGGCCCAAGCTACGCCTGCCGCTTTGTAGGTTACGTGGAACAATCCCTCTTCCGTACCTACACCGGCCCTAAACCCCACCTCTTCCTCCGTTACATTGATGACTGTATCGGCGCTGCCTCGTGCTCCCACGAGGAGCTCGAACAGTTCATACACTTCACTAACACCTTCCACCCCAACCTTAAGTTTACCTGGACCATCTCTAACACCTCTCTCCCCTTCCTGGACCTCTCTGTCTCCATATCGGGCAACCACCTAGAAACCGATATTCATTTCAAGCCCACCGACTCCCACAGCTACCTAGAATACTCCTCTTCCCACCCACCTTCCTGCAAAAATGCTATCCCCTATTCCCAATTCCTTCGCCTCCGCCGCATCTGCTCCCAGGATGAGGCATTCCACTCCCGTACATCTCAGTTGTCCTCGTTTTTCAAGGATCGTAACTTCCCCTCCTCGGTGGTCGAGAACGCCCTCAACCGTGTCTCCCACATCTCCCGCACCTCATCCCTCACACCCCGTCCACGCAATAAAAACCAAAAAAGAATCCCCCTCGTCCTCACGTACCACCCCACGAACCTCCGGATCCAACGCATCATCCTCCGACACTTCCGCCATCTGCAATCCGACCCCACCAGCAAAGACATCGTTCCCTCCCCACCCTTATCTGCTTTCCGGAGGGACAACTCTCTCCGTGACTCCCTTGTCCGCTCCACACTCCCCTCCAGCTCCACCACACCCGGCACTTTTCCCTGCAACCGCAGGAAGTGCTACACCTGCCCCCATACCTCCTCCCTCACCCCCATCCCAGGCCCCAAGAAGACTTTCCACATCAAGCAGATGTTCACCTGCACATCTGCCAATGTGGTATACTGCATCCGCTGTACCCGGTGTGGCTTCCTCTACATCGGGGAAACCAAGCGGAGACTCGGGGACCGCTTTGCAGAACACCTACGCTTGGTTCGCAACAAACAACTGCACCTCCCAGTCGCGAACCATTTCAACTCCCCCTCCCATTCCTCAGACGACATGTCCATCCTGGGCCTCCTGCAGTGCCACAACGATGCCACCCGAAGGTTGCAGGAACAGCAACTCATATTCCGCTTGGGAACCCTGCAGCCCAATGGTATCAATGTGGATTTCACAAGCTTCAAAATCTCCCCTCCCCCTACCGCATCCCAAAACCAGTCCAGCTCGTCCCCGCCTCCCTAACCTGTTCTTCCTCCCACCTATCCCCTCCTCCCACCTCAAGCCACACCTCCATCTCCTACCGACCAACCTCATCCCGCCCCCCTTGACCTGTCCGTCCTCCCTGGACTGACCTATCCCCTTCCTAACTCCCTACCTACACTCACCTTTCCTGGCTCCATCCCCGCCTCTTCGACCTGTTTGTTTCCTCTCCACCTATCCTCTCCTCTATCCCTCTTCTATCCGCCTCCCACTCTCTCCCTATTTATTTCAAAACCCCCTTCCCCTCCCCCTTTTCTGATGAAGGGTCTAGGCCCAAAACGTCAGCCTCTCTGCTCCTATGATGCTGCTTGGCCTGCTGTGTTCATCCAGCCCTGCACCTTGTTGTCTCGGTATTCTGTAGGGATCTGTTTTGGGACCTCTGCCCTTTGTGATCCTTATGAATGACTTGGATGAGGAAGTGGAGGGGTGCATTAATAAGTTTGCAGGAGACATAAAGGTTGGTGGAGTTGTGGATAGTGTGGAGGGCTGTCGTAGGTTGCAACGGGACATTGACAGGATGCAGAGCTGGGCAAAGAAGTGGC